ACCAGGGCCGGACTGGCCCACCGGGATACCGGGAAATTTCCCGGTGGGCCGGGGCACTTGGGGCCGCACAGTGCAGAGTCTTCTCCTCCCCCCACCCAGTACATACAGTCATGTCGGGGGCTTAATAAGCTGAGGAGTGAAGGTCCCCTCTCAGCTCTAAATCGGCACTGTACTTTATGCACTTGCGAGCAGCAGGCACTCCAAAATAAACTTTGAATGCTGCTCGCGAGTGAAGCATAACGAGCAGGTGAGGGAGGTAGCCCTTTGCCTGCCTGACAGCCTTCACACACAGGAAGCATGTGAGCTGGTAATCAGGCAGAGCAGGGCAGCCCATGCGGGTCCTCTGACATTTTGCTTCCTGTGTGTAAAGTGCTGGCAGGCAGGGAGAGGGGCAAGCATGCGCCAGACAGAGCTGCAGGCAGGCTGCTTTTCAGCCAGGAGCTGAGCACAGATCAAAGAGCAAGGTGGGCTCAGTGAGCAGTGGCACCCAGGTATTTTATGTTCATTTCCAAGATTCTTAGGATGTGTGTATATTTGAGTGTGTAATTGTGTGTGGGAGGTGTTTTTGAAGGTATTATGTGTGTGTCAGTATGGATTAGTGTGTGTGTGTGTGTGTCAGTATGGATCAATATATGTGTCAGTATGGATAAATGTAAGGATCAATGTATGTGTCAGTATGGATCAATGTATGGATCAATGTATATGTCAGTATGGATCAATGTATGTGTCAGTAAGGATCAATGTATGTGTCAGTATGGATCAATGTATGGATCAATGTATATGTCAGTATGGATCAATGTATGTGTCAGTAAGGATCAATGTATGTGTCAGTATGGATCAATGTATGGATCAATGTGTGTGACAGTATGGATCAATGTATGTGTCGTATGGATCAATGTATGGATCAATGTATGTGTCAGTATGGATCAATGTAAGTGTCAGTATGGATCAATGTATGGATCAGTATGGATTAGTTTTTGTGTGTGTGTGTCAGTATGGATCACTGTGTGTGTCAGTATAGATCACTGTGTGTCAGTATAGATCACTGTGTTTGTCTGTGTGTGTGTGTTTCAGTATGGATCACTGTTTGTGTGTGTCAGTATGGATGACTGTGTGTGTGTCAGTATATGTCACTGTATGTGTGTATGTCAGTATGGATCATTGTGCACCAGTGTGTGTGTGTGTGTGTGTGTGTGTGTGTGTATATATATGTGGGCATCAGTACGTGCCAGTGAGTATCCATTAATCAAAAATCTGTGTTGATGCCTATATATGTTTTTTTTTTTTTTTAATGACATGTTGAATTAAAAAAATTCAATATAGCTTTGCTTTATCTATGTGATTTGTGGAAGTATTATGCATACATACATACATTTGCACAAATGGTATTATATCACTATATATATGTGTGTGTATGTATATATATCACAAGCATAATTTAATTATTATGTTTACACATAATACACACACACACACATATATAAAATGTATGAAGGGTTTGACATTTGCCAAAGGGTTTTTACTAATATTTTTAATTTTTAAAAATTGAAAATCCAAATTTCATAATTTAAACCAAAATAGCGGATTTGAAACAAAATTTCAACTTTGGTATAGTGACAGCTTGACTATTGTAGCCTAAATTTTGCAATTTACATTTTCATTCACAAGAAATATTAGTTTAGTGGATAACCCTGCCTATCTCTCAGTCTTTCATTCCCTGGTATAAAACTACATACAACGAAGAGTGCGCTCATAGGAATGAGGACCAAACAAAATAACATTTATTTAAATCAGACGTGCAGCAGCATTCAGTCAATGTTTCATTCCCATTACTGGACCTTTCAAAATTATAAGGATGAACCATTGAAGTAAGATGTTGCACATCTGATTAGAATAAAACAGCGCTTTTGTTTATTTTAAGTCCTGTGAGTGCGCTCCTTCTTGTTGGTTTCAATAAATGTATCT